GGCTCCATTTCAGAAGCTCTGCCAGATCCTCCTAGGGGGCTCAGGAGTCACTGCCTCATGTCATGTATCCCATCTGTCATCCCCTCCTGCCCTGGGAGCAGAGATGGCAGAAAGGGCACAAGATCCATTCCTCAGCCTCACTTGTTCACAGGCTGCTGCAATAAATGAAATCCCCATCTCTAATACACTGAAATGTAGCAGCTGATCCTCATCAGATGTAGCCCAGGAGTTCACTGCTTCCCACAGCTGCCAAACTTAGAGGTTTCACAAAACTGAGCTTTAGAGCTGCTGACTATTACAACTTCCTAGGCAAAACTATAATCAGGTCATGGAAAGGTTCAATAAACCAAGTGGCAAACACTGTTCTGTACAACAGCATTGGCTGTGGCTTCTCAGGTCCTGAGACCAAACACAGGCTTAAGTCACAAGTCCTGGTTTCCTCTGACTCAGCTGGACTTGGCCAAAGAACAAAGCCACAAATCTCAAGCTTTTTAAGGTAAAGCAGAGGGCCTGGCCAGCCTACAGCACTGTGTATCCTGGCACAGCTTCATGGGCAGTGCCAGCAGAGAATTTCATCCTGACACAGCTGCACAGTCACTGCAACTCTGCCAGCGAACAAGGGGAAACAGAAGTTGTCACTTCCACACTGCCAAGCATTTTACAGAATTCATCACGTTTCCCACTACACATCTTCCTTTTGCTGTCAGCCTGATAGGAAAATGCAGCAATCTGCAAAAGAATCTGACACTGGCACTTCATAACATCTGTGGTGACTGAGTCCTGTCAGTGGCTCCTGGCATGCTGGCCCACAGACAGTTGTGTTAAACCAGGAATAAACTCTGGACCATGTCATCTTGGTCTCAATTTTAAACATTTTTCATCCTTGTGACTATGAACAGGCTGAGCCCACTTACTGCTTTCAAAAATGTCAGGCTAGTTTCTTGAGCCAATTACATTGTGCAGGGCAATTCTTAGCTCTGTCAAAACAGCTTTTGGTTCTCTGGGACACAAATGTGAACGAGGCTGCCAAAGTGTGTGGAAAATGAAATTCCAGCTGCTGCTGCCAGAAAGTTACAGGAAAATACCATCCACACAGAAACATGTGCTGAAAATAGGAGTGTCTAGGCTTGCAGCTGGTGGATGCTTTTCTCTCTGATGGCTCCTATGAGATGAGTGTAAGCTGTGTGGTACAGACCTGCTGAAGCCTCTGCAGCCTCTCCTGCCACCCTCATACAGCTCTGGGTCGTAGCTATCCCAGGAGGATCCCGTGGGCCCGATGCAGGTTTTGCTCCAGCTGTTGCTGCAGCGTTCCAGTTGTTCCAGTTGCCTTTTCACTGCCCCTGGGTTCTTGCAGAAGTCACAGCACTTGTTGCAAGGTGGGGTGACATCACCGAAGTACTTTGCTATGGCAGCGTGGCGACAGCTTGGAAACAAGGCAGAATCATCTGGTCATCATTTCTATCCACAAAACCTCCACCCTTCAAATGCAATGTCTTTGGATAAAGATTTGAGTCTTATTTTTTCACAGAAAATGCCTATTCCAGCAGGAATCACAGGGTTTAATCCCTGGAGCAGAATTCAGGTTCTGTTCCTGGCACCTTGCTTAAATTCTCTCTGCCTCCACCTCCCCATTTTAAAAAAAATCAGTGTTAAATCTCCTCTGCTAAACCCTTTCAGATCTTTGAGATCTGCAAAAGCAGCAGTTGATGAAATACACAGTTATTAATTCTGTATCATTGGCTAAATATATTCCATGTCCCAGAATGGCTGTAGGTAAAGAGGCCCCATTGATCACTACACTCAAGAGTGTATCTATATATCTCACATTGAAGAGCTTCTAGGTTTACTATTTGTGACTTGAAGGTGAAGAAATAAATACTTGAAGACACAAGAATGTAAAGCAAGTCCCAGAAATAGAGTCCAGAGTGAGGTCCCAAGGGAGCCCCATTCAGATAACACAGCCTGGATCTTGATGGGCTCACACATGCTCCAGATGAGCACCCAAAGTCTGGGTAGAGTCCTACATGAAAACCAGTCCATTTGCTCACACAGGATTGCACAACCAGTTTACCAGGATTAGCAAACCAGCCATGTGAAGATGATTCGATTCTTCCAGAAATTTTCAAAAAATTCTTGGCAGGCATCAGTGTTTTGGGGTACATAAAAAAGAGTTTGGTGACAATATGCTCGCTAGAATTACAGGCAGGAAGTAATTTCTCCTCTAAAACACTCCCTAACTTAAACCAGGGAATACAGTGATTTTGCCAAAGAATGATCAGACAGTTACTTTCCCCCCCTTATTTTAAGAAAGCAGAATTCAGAGGAGTTTTTAAAACTAAAGTTTCACAGCAGAGGTGGCTGGTTGTGTGTTAGTCAAAATGCTGATGATAAATGAAAACATTCACTTCATCAGGCATTTAGAGATCAAATCCTGCAGCCAAGTGGGAACAAAACTTATTTTAGAAGAAAATTATTTTTACTACAAGGAAGAACAAGGTGGAATTTTTTCTCCTCTACCAAGGTGTGTACCAACTTCATCTGCAAAAAGTGGGTCACAGAGAAGAAAAGTAAGAGAGTGAACACCTCATTTACTCTTATTCTAAACCCTTTAAGGCATGTCAGAACTTGCCAGAGATCTAACAAACAGTTTTCTTCTTCACTTGTGTCTGTGTGTGTCTGGGGTAACACAACTGTGTGTTACCAAAGCATCACAGTGGCTGCTGGCTCACTCCTCCCCACGGCCTGGGAGGTTGATCTGAAGGCAGCACAGAGCAGGTCACAGGTTCCTGTCCCCCAGCAGTGACCTGAGCGTGCTGAAGAGCCAGGGAGCTGGCAGTGCTCAGGTAAGGGGCTGCAGCTGGGTGTGTGCACTGTGCAGGGCACCAAAGCCTGGAGAGGGCTCCGACAAAGCTGCCTTTATATCCCCCTGCAAACCACACTGACTTGCTCTGCTCCTGCACTCAAAGAGCTCCTTTCACATGCAGGGCAAGGGTGGGGGGACCGGGATGGGGGCAACACATTCGATCCCCTTGTCCTGCCTTTCCAAAAGAACTACTGGTGCTGCCTGGCTTGCCAATGCAACGTGACTATAGAAATGTCAGCGAGCTGCAAGTCAGCTTTTTGTTTCCCCAAAAGAAAACAGGCAGGCATTCTCATTAGAGAATGAGTGTCTCTTGCAGTGATCTGTATTAGAGTTAACTGAGGCATTCAGTGAGGGACAAACCCTCTCCCCACTCCCACAGCTCAGCAGGCTTATGCTGGGGAGGGACAGCCACACACACCTCTGTCCTTTAGATGCCCCAGGGGAGGGCTTTGGTGGAAGCAGAGATCAGCTGTGAGCTCGCTGGAATTTAGAGTTCCAGTTTCTAACCCATCGGGCTTGTAAAGCCAAGCCCTTTCCACCCAGCCTCCTGTAATTGCTTTTTTCTTCCTGAAGAATTACCCAGACTGGGGCCACAGCCCCACTTTAGCCAACGGTGTTCAGGAGTTGGGCCATAACGGAAATTCACTTGCAAAACTAAAACTGCAATCCTATAATTAAGGTCAAAAGGCAAAAAAAAAAAAAAAAAAGTTAAAAACAGGGATGCTGGGGTTAATCACTAGATTAATGCTTAACACAAGAGTTCCTGAAACATAGTTGGTTATGCATTAACATGTGAGGGGAAAGTTTCCCCAGTCACACCAACATCTGACTAATGTCCACGAGATGGCAATGATTTACATGAATTAATGGTATTTTATATTATTGTACATGTCCTAAAATTATTTCATCTTTTAAATATGCAACGGTATTATTTGTCTCCCCTTGCCCCTCAAAAAGAGTATGTATGAGCTGACCATTGGTCTCTAAAATGTCTAAACAAAGTCATTATGTCATTACAGACATTCCCCCTCCTCCCTCCCATTTGACACTGTGGAATGGGATGAAGAGCAAATAACAATGAGATTTATTAATGCATTTTTGTCTGTGGCAATACATTTCAGGAAAGTGCTAAACTGACCACAAAGCTGCCTGCACCTGTGTCTTTTTGGTAGTCCTTGTTTTTATATACCACATAAAACAGGAGCCCTATTCCTGCAATTAGGAGATGTGGATGGACAGGCAGAGAAGCAAAGTCACATATCCCAAAAGAAGCTCTGCCTCTCCCAAAAAACACCAGAAAAAAACATTCTCTTGTATAAACCAAGGGGTGCAGAGCCTCATCAGAAATGCTTTGTGAAATAAACAATTCAGCAAGTCTTGGAATAATGCGAAGTGAAAGGGTTAAAAAAGATAAAAATCATGTGAGGGCAAATCAGTTATGCAGTTGTCAAGCGAAAGCCACTTAATGAGCTTTATCTAACAGAAGAGCAAGTCATGAGGTTGATGAGAACTTCTAATTTTGCACCTCTCTGAAAGGCTGTGTCCTTTCAGCATCACCTGAGCTTCACCCTCTGACACGCGACAGTGACAGTCAGCTGTCCCCAGAATACAAGAAGCGAAAAGCTCAGCATCAAGAGAGTGAATGACTTGGGCAAGGGCACGGAACAAATTCACCATCCCAGCATGAAATTCACTGGCCCAGCATTGTCCCTGCCCGTGGCAGGTCTCTCTTACAGCGCTGTCCTTGTGAGCACTTGCTCTGCCCCTTCAATGAACGCAAGAGAAAAGCTCCTTCCCCCGGGAGCCGGAAGGAAACCGGGCAGCATAAAGAAAAGTTATTCGCTTTAACATTGCCCCAAAGTATCGCAGGCAGGGAATCGATTCAAGTCTCACGCTAGAAAAGGGCGTCATTAAAAGGTAGAGAAGAAACTCCTCCGTCCGAGGAGATGCAACAAGTGGCGGCCCTTGGGCGCCCCGGGGAGCTGGCACCGGCTCTGGCTCAGCCTGCGTTGCCTCCTCTCCCTCCCTCTTTGGCACACATGTAACACGAAACTTCGCATCTCCAGGACAACCAGCAACAAAAAAAAAAAAAAAAAAAAAAAAAAAAAAAAAAAAAAAAAAAAGAAAGGCAGAGACAACAGCTGGCTGTCAGCAACGGAGCAGCGAGGAGCCGAGCGAGCAGCAAGCCAGGATGAGGGGAGAGATGACGTGAAAGTTTAAGAAGACGGGAAGGAAAACAAGAGGAGAAGAGCTCGCGGTCGGGGTAAGGCTGAGCTATCGCTGCTGTTCGGTCAAGCGCGGCACCCTCCGCTCTTAGCGAGGGACTGGAGCCTGGGGAGCTCCCCCTACTCGCTCGGCCACGGAGCAGAGCTTGGGAGGCTGGATTTGCTTGCCAGGGACACCGAGGAGCGAAGGTGGCAGGAGAAAAGCTTTTAATGGGATTGCGGAGAGCTGCGCCGCAGCCGCCCTGTAACAAAAGGAGCTCCGAGCCCGAGCGGGACTCTGCAGCTCCTGTGCCGGTGACAAAGGCCGGCTGCTCGGGTTTCTGTGCCCTGACACAACGTGTGTCCTGATAAGCTGGTGACCTGATACAGAAATAGTCGGTGTGGACAAGGCAGCTGGGTCCGAGGCTGTGCGTGCCTTTAGCAGCACAGGCAGGCGCCTATGGAACCCGACGGGTGCCAGCCACAGCTTTTCCCCGGAGCTCCTCCCAGCTGCAGCCAAGTTTTAGCCCCCAAATCCTGAAGCAGAGAGCTTAGAAAACAAACCCTGGTCGGGGAACTAGCACACTGTGCAAGTTAAGCATCTGTGTCCAAGAGAAATAAACGGAAAGATTTTACACGGTTTCTAATGAGAACATTTTAAAAAGAAGAATTCAGCCAGCGTATCAGACACAGATGCTGGTTTAGTGTTCAAAGCAGCGTGAGAACCCACTGCTCTGGGAGGCACGTTCATGCACATACACAGCTCATGGCTTACAGTAACCAGACCGTCAAGTTTGAATGCAGTGAGAAGAGAAGGAAGAGTAAAAGGATCACCTAAATACATGAAATTATACAACATAGAATCATTTAGGTGAAAAAGGCTTTAGGCCATTGTGTCCAAGCTTTGGTTTTACACAGGTGTCCCACTGCCTGTGCTCCCATCTCTGTTTTGCTGTTGGGTTTGGGAAGAGGGGCTGGTAATGGAGACTGGCCATATAAATCCCCATTTTCTGTCATCTGAAGCTGACTGCTCTGTTGGGAAACTGCTGCAGCTCCCAGCACTGAGCTGGGACCCCCAGGAGGTGCAGGGGCAGTCAGGAGCAGAAAGCCAATTCTCACAGAAAGAGGTCTTCCCAATCCTACACATGCCTGTAGGGAGGAATGTTAAGGATCAGGTATTTCCACTTCTCTCTGTTCCCATTAACAGGGAATGGAGGGCAGGTCTTTCTGACCTACCTGTTGTACAAACATGGAATTGGAGCTGCCTAAGTGAGGAGATGCAGTAGTTCAGACCCACACACCTCCAGCCTGGCCCTAAGGCTCAAGGGGATGGAGGGAAGTTTCCATCCTGCTAATGGAGAGTCTCTCTAGGTTGGTTGTTGCATTTAAGATAGTTTCTTTAAAAAGCATGTGAAAAAAACAAAGTTTAGGGAAACAGTAACAAAAAAAAAATAAGGAGGGAGGAGTGAGGGGAGAAAGGCAAGGGAGGGAAGGAGGTAGAGAAACATGCCAAGTTTTCCTGGCCAAAAGAAAATCTTAATGGGTTTGGCTGGGGGCTTGTCCAGCTGCAGCCGTGCTGTTCATGTGTGGGGGGAGAGGCACAGCAATGTGAAACACATGTCTGGATAAAAGCAGCAGGACATGGCTTGTGTTACAGCTGTCACAGTGCCTCAGCCTGACTGCACCCAACGGTGGCTGTAGGAGTGAAGGGACAAAGTTTGACAGAGCTGCTCCTATCTGTAAGATGACCCCGATCACAGAGTGTGCAGTGGCCAGAGGCACCCACTGGACAGCAGGGACTGTGAGGGGCTGGGAGAGAGCTGGGGGCAGGGAGCAGCACCCACCCCAGCCCTCCATGCAGGCTCTCCCCTCTACCCCACACAGCCACAGCTGATGAGGTTCCAAACAATTCCTCCTGAGGTAGCAGCTGCTGCAGATTCTGGTTTTGAGTTCCTACACCTTTACTAGGATTACTCCAAGGTATTTCAGAAAGCTCAAAAATGCATGTAATTTATGAAACTTGTAGATGTGAGATCAAGGACAGGGCACAGAGGTGGCTGTTGAAAGGTGGAGGAGTTTCCAGACTCTCAGAGCCTCCAGATGCTGGACCTCAAACACCAACTACCGACAGATCCCACTATGTTTGTGAAGTCACCAAAAGGCTTTCACAGGCACACAGCTACCTCTCAGTCAGCTTCTTGGGAAATGGATATTTTGCTAATATTAGAACAGACTTTCAGGCTAGATTCAAGCATCACCAACCCTAAAAAAAGTTCTCTCGTAGAAGAGCTACAGGTTTATTTTTAAAATTGACCTTTTCCTTTCATTGGATAGCTCAGTGTTTTGGTTTCCCCATTTAAGAAATTTCTAGTAGTGAGGAATTATCTCATGGGGTTTTGTGGACATGGCTGTGGGATGGATTGGAGAAAACCAGGGTGCTCTGCAGAGGTGTAAAGACTCCCAGCTCAGTGCTCCAGTGGGTACCTCAGCTACTGAAACTGGGAATTCAATGCCTTTTTATATTAATCTAATATTAGGTTGTAGGGAAGAGAAGGCACATTTACAGTGCTGCCTCAAAACCCATCTCCAAATAGTGGGTGGTGGAGATGACAGGGTATTCCAGCCAAAGGGTGACCCAGGCAGGGCAGCTTTAAAATCTCAGGAATGTGTGGCCTTCTGTTCCAAACCAACTGACCAAGTCCCAGCTTTTCTCCCATGGCATTGAGCTACAATTTACCCGTTTGGGTGTGTGCTGTTAAAGGGCTGAATTCTCTTGATACTGGAAACTATTTTCATCTGCTTGGGAATGAATTATAGGTCTGTCTGGCTCTGTGCACTCCTGTTTTAAGAAAAATGGGCTTGTCTAAACTATAGTTAAGATTCACATGGCTGGTCAACTACAGTCATGGCAGCAAACACTGCATTAACAATGATGAGGGAAAACCATGCACTGATAATACAACTGCATTTCTATGGCCCTTTTCATCTCAGCAGTACACTACAAGCTTGGAACAATGAACAGCCAGGCAGGAATTATGACACATTATGCCAAAATACATCCACACTATAGGCACACCTAGCAACCCAGCATTGTTTGAGAACAGGAAGCACTGCAGACCTTATCCATATAAAATCAGAAGGACATTTCAGGGACCAAGAACAAAGCTGGTACGTTTTGAAAGTGGCCAAGCCTTCATGCTCTTTAGAAAGTGGCCAAGTACAGTCAGAGCTTATTTTAGAGTTTTAGACCAGAATAAAAAGTATCCCCTCCCCTTTGGCTGCTCAGCACCCTCCTTCCATGAGGTTGGAAGTTTGCCTTGTAAGATTTCCTACCAGATAAGTCCCCACAATCCATACAGGCTTCCCATCCCTGTACAGGTCCAATTTCAACCAACTTATTGGACTTGTCTGAGTATGAACAACACAACATTTGCTTCTTCAGAGCCACGTTCTTAAAGAAAAGCCAAGGTTGCAATGAGAATGTCACCCTGGCATTCTACTTGATGGGAACATCAGGAAGGTTCTGCTTTTTAAGGTCTCTAGAGCACTCTTGCTGTGGGCATTGGAGGAGAGCCAATTCACAGTCACTGGGACTTGCTGCATTAGGACTAGAGGCATTGGCAGCTTCTTTTTCCCTCCAAAATTCCCCCCTCCAAAGCTTTATCTCCACTTTTAGGTTACAAGAGCAACAAACCCATGTAAGCACAGTAAAACTAACGGATCAGGATCATGGCAAGAACAATATGAGGAGCATGGTTGGGTTAGGAGCAAACAAGAGTGGAAACCACACTTTCATCCACATCCATCCTAAACAGGCTCAATGAACAAAGTGTAAGAAATTCTGAGCAAAACAATGGCCAGTTCAGTTTGGAACTGCAGCAAAACCAGAGACTTGTTGCCATTCTATCTAAAGATTGCCAAGCATGCTGGAAACTTGGACACACAACAATGAACAAACAAAGCTGTGATGTGGTTCCATGTTCCGCTGTGTTGCAGAGATGAAGTCACCCAGCAGTGGGATGTGATGACTTACCAAAGTCACACAACCAGGGAGCATTGCTGGCAGGCCAGGGAGACTGCCTGTATTTACTAACTTCCAGTCCTGGGGCTAAACCACAAACTTAAATTTGTGCCTTTTGCACTAAAAAAGGCTGCTCAAATACCCCCAGGGTTATGTGTAAACAAGTGTCTTATTCTCAGCAGAACATTTCAGCTCAGTCAGCTCAGCCACTCCCTCCAGTTCACCTTTGGATGCAGCTGTCTCCACAGACATCAGGACAGATCAAAAAAACTCTGATCAATGTACAGCAATTCCAAAAGACTCACAGCAGCCTCACAATCTTCCAGCAGACACAGGGATGTCAAACCCCACTGCACATGGTCACCCTAAAGCTCTTTTTCTTGGAAAAAGCCTCCATATGCAGCCAGTTCACAGCTAAAAGGAATCTTGATGGAGGCTTTTCTCTTGAATTTCTAGATTGAAGCTTTTTAATGGCTTTATTCTCCAAAGGGCTGAGCAGCCAACTTCTTTGAGTGCTCCAGCATGGCACGAGTCCATTAAAACAACTCAGAAAGATAATTTCAGGGCTATTATGGCAATTTTCACAGCATTCTTCAGTGGGCACAGCAAGATGAGTCTGCATTAATGCTTTCTGGGAATCTTAATCTATATAGGTCCTAAACACGGGACCTACATGCACTTTGGTTTTACAGGGTCATTACAGGGTAATCCTTGCAGCTGAGCAGCACACCTGCAGCTGTTCACCATTCCCCTGCATCATTTCTGTGCTCTGTCCTTTCAGCCAAGGCTAACAACTCATGGCACATGGCAGAATGGGCCATTTTTTTCATTAAAACCAAATAAATCCAAATTAAATGATTTGTTTTATTCCCTCCCCCTGCTGGGCCTTGCAACATTAGAGGAGGGCAGAAAGGTTGGATGATCTAGTTCCACTAGGTATTGCTGATTACATGAGTTATTTCTTAAGTCAAAACCATGAATTTCAGGCTGCCACCCCAACCCACCAGGATGTCACAAACTGCCTGTCCCAAAACACTGTGTTACTTTCTTTCCTATGTGAGATTCTTATCTTGCTTCTCCTCATCTGATTTTCACTTCATGTGAGTTCTAACTACAGCTGTGGAGCAGAATTTCCTGACATCAGTCTGACAATGTGTTATGAAAACCACATTGCACTGTGGTCATTCAGGATTTTTTCCATAACATGGATGAGTTCCATCAGCTCTGCTGCCCTACAGCCAAGCCTCCTCTGCTCTGGAGGGTTCCCATCCTCAGTGGGTGAAATTTTGAGGAAGGACAATGATGAGCAAGAAGAAATTTCCAATTGAGGAAAACACTGGAAGATAATTATGTTTGCTCCAAACCCCTGAGAATCTCTGAGGTACTAATTTGAGTGGCTCTTCCAGGCTCTAAAACAGCATTCCAGACCTAGAAAGTAAACTGTCAATTAATGCCTACAACCTTAAGTTTCAAACCTCTTAAGACTTCCCTGTTTTAATAATAGTCATCACAGTTACTGCTTCAACAAAATATCTTGCACCACCTGGCCTTACTACTGTTGGTGACTGGAAGTTTATTTGAACACAATATAATAAAACAAATTAATTCTCACAGCTCCACTCTGTTACTGTAATTAATGCCATCACCCTTGTGTTGTAAATGAGGCAGATGCAGAAGACAACTGGTTTAAATCACACTATCCTTACCCTTGTGTTAATCTCAAAGGTAAAATATTGGTTCCACTTAAATCAATTGGGAAAAGGTCACATCAAAACTAGTCCTGAACAAAGATTTTACATCACAAGTAGAATGGAACATACAAAAGTCCATGAATGTAAGTGGCTTCCTTGGGGTCGTTTTACTTTTTTCCTTTAAGAATTATTTTATTCTTCACCCTTTTGCCTTGCTGCAGGAACAGAAGTCCCAAAGCAGAGAGCCCTTGGAAACAGCAGAGAGTGCAGACAAGCTGAAAAACATTTGCTTCCTCACAGGTAGACTGGAGACTGCACCACCACCATCAGACTTTGTCCCTGATGTAATTCAGACCAAGGTAAACAAGCAACATTCATTGCAAGTTTTAGAATAAAAACTCACTTATCTCCAGATCAGGGACCATTGGCAGAGAGGAATGTCCATTACAGAGACAGGCTTTATCATTTTTGACTAAGCACTAATCCACATGGAGTTCTACAATCCTGATCAGTAATTTTACCCTGTATAACCAAACTTCACAAGCCTGGCTCTTACACCTGTTGCTTCTGGTGCAACCCAAAGCATGGTATGGAAACTTACAGCAAATTCCTTATGAGGAGAGCTTCTGGACAGGCAGAACCACCCCCAAAGGGAACAAACATTTTCACAATGTTAGAGCCAGAAATTCTATCTTTTGAATTTTTTTTCTTCTAGAGGCAAGAACAGAAAACACAAAACACTTCACCTCTGCCTCCTCCACCATCTCTTGGAATGGAAACAAAATTGAAAACCCCCTGAAACAGAATCCTGCAGCACTAAGGATAAAGCAGCCGTTTCTGGAGCAGCTCACTTGGGGTATGCAATCATCTGGAAAGAAGGATTTAACCCTGGTCTCAAAAGTGACCTTTTCAGGTCAAAAGACCACAGCTCTCCCTCCTTCCCAAGTTGCACATGATCTTTCTGTGGATGTAGATTTTCCATCCACCCCCATTTCTAAGAAACCAGCTGGTTCCGATTTTTATTCCTTAGCTTAGATTTAAAAGAACAAAGAAAACCCTTTCTGAATTGCATAAACATACAAAACTAATTTAACTTGGCACTGTAGTACTTAAACCCAGCATGCAAAGAAACAGCCAAGGTCTCTCTGTCCTCAGTGTGTTTAGAAAAACTGAACTCCAAGCATCCATTTGTTTGAGTAACCAAGCCAGATGTGCAATAAGGAACTAGCTGGTTTGTTCTGGAAGTGCTGTCTTGGTCACTTGGATTTGTGTTATCACCAAGATCAGAATATTAAATTGCAGTGTTCAAGTCCCAAAACCCAGTGTTGACTGTTACAACACACACAAACCAGTACCTTTTGATATAATAATGAAGTAAGAGTTATAACCATTCAAGGGTTGACCTTTCCAAACACTTTAGGTGGAACTATGGATATTTCTCAAAAGCATGCAATTTCAGTTCCTGACTGAAACAAAATTTGAAGATCCATAGGTCTTATACCAGCTAGTTTGTTGCAATGCTTCCCAAAATCTTGCTCATGGGGTAAAAGAACAGCAATATTGGTGATAAAACTGAGGCACTTAACTTAGCTAGACTAATAATATTTTCAGTAACAATAGCTCCTGATGATCACTCTGAGAATAAAGATTACTGAGCAGGGCAGGAGGGATTAGCTCCACAGGGGAGATGTCTCCCTGGCAGATCAGGGGTTTTTGCTTTGCTCATCAGAGCAGTGATGGATGGAATCCACTGTTCATATATTGCTCTGTGGCTGGAAAGAAAAAAATCCTCTAAATTTAGCTTTCTTTATAAAATTTCATTTATCTGTAAGAACTTGAAAAGCATCCAGCTGTCCCTAGTGAATGCAGGCTTTAAATTGAGTATCACATAGAGTAAAACTGGTTAATAAAACATTATTAATGCTCTTGTATTGAGGTGTTGAGATAAATGCCTTTGTTTTTGCTGTAACTCAGTGTTCCTTCAAGGGAATCCACTTTGTGTTACTCAGTAAGAAACAACTGGAGACTATGTGCAGTGGAGTTCAGCATTCAGAATTCAAGTTGGGTTAGAACTGCATTTGTTTCTGGAAGGACAAGTTAGCACAACTGGAAAAAAAAAGTGCTTTGTTTGGGTGAGAGCCAAGGACAGGCACTGTCCAGTCTAACTCAGTGCCCACTGGAAAAAGTGTCCTTGTAGAAGGAGCAGTGTTTGGGCTTTGCTTAACAGTGCAGTTGACAAAAACACCCTCGAAGCTGGATTTTGAAATTAAAACAGTCCCAGAACATGCAGACAATTAAAAGTCCTCCACCTTAGCTACTGGGAACAAGGACTGAGACCAGATAAACTTGTTTTCCTTGTGATCACCAGCTGTATAAGAAGGCTGGGAGCTCCCTAGCATTAGTCAGTGAAAAGGTTTATTCTCTGGTTCTCCTGCAGCATAAAGCCTGGAGAGGTTGTGACAGAATGTCTTCTGAAGGCTTTCTGAAGGAAGTTCAAGCCATTGGTGAGAAGTTTCTCCTTAAGCTCCAGAGACTGCCCAAGGCTGACCCAGTGGAGATTGTCAGCTTTTCTGTGGTTCTTCTGTTTATTGGTGAGTTTGTGGGTGGAGGCAAAGGGGTGTGAGAATTTCTCTCCTATGGGGGCAGCTTTATCCACAGGCTGTGGAGGTGGGCTGGTGGTGTTGGCTGTTGTTCTCTAGGCTGTGCTCTAAGGCCCAGGTTGATTCCTAAGTGATTTTTTTAGCACTCAGCATGTACCTCTGCATGGTTGCAGGGCATGACAGGCAACAGTACAGCTTTCCCCAAAGCTCCCATTTTAAATATTAGTTAAATCAGCAATATTTTAACCGACCCAGAGCTGCTGTAATGTTTTGATGCATAGGAGATAGTTTATGACAAAAGATATTAGAGCATCTCCCTGCCACAGAAGACACCTTAGAGAGACTCTGAGTGTCATTCCTGTATTGGCTCAGTGGAAGCCAATATGCTTCAGATGAGCCTATTTATTCTCTTCTGGTAATGGCAAGATCCCTCCTGCTGCTCTGTGTGGGGATGGCATGGAAGGAATAACAAAGAACTGCTGGATCAAGGGGGATGAAGTTTGTTTATACAATGGGAAAACAAGCAGGAAGGAAGACAAGCCTGCTCCTCAAAGACAGGGCATGCTCTGGGCCAAAAGGAAGGGTGTGTATCCAGCTGGACACTCCTCCCTGGGCTGGAATTCACAGTCACACCTGCTGCCTTATTGGGTTCATCCCTACAGCTGGTTCCCCCAGGTCTGGTTACATGTCAGCCCAGGTCCAGGCTTTAAAGGAACACATGCACACACAGGCATGCTCACACTCTTACATGTTCTGCAGGATGGAACATGTCATCCATTTCTACTCCAGATAAACTAACCCATCCCTGCCAACACCAGCCATCCTGGCTAGAGTAGAGGACAGTAACTTAGCCCACTGTTCTGTGAAACAAACCCCTGCACTTGAAGTATCTTATTTCTTCAAGCTAAATACAGAAGAGTAAAGTTAACCCAGCCATGAGTCTCTATGCTCAAGAGTATGCTGAACTCACTCTTCAGAAATACAACTGCCAGTTTGAGTAACCAAACCCCCTCAAGTTTGATTACTCAAAAATACAAAGCTGGATTTTTGTCCTTTCCAGGCACATAGCTGTGCTTAGGTATTGCATGTGGCTCCCAAACAATAGCCCATTAAGTGGGTAAAGGAACCCTCACATGGTTTGGAATGTAGCTCTTAAGGTCTTGAAATACCTGGTAATGATTGTCCAGATTAAATGGAAAACCAATACAAAGGAGCAGGAACTCAGGAGGAGGAAGACGGGGATATATGGCAAGAAAAAAAAATTTCAAAAAACCAGGCTTTGCTCATTTTGCTGCTCACCAAACAGCGTGGAGGAGACATAGGGTTACTGTGCAGGGATTGTTCTTACACTGTGAATATCCTTTGTTTCTCTTTGCAGTTACTGTGCTGGTGCTCATGATCATTGCCTGCAGTTGCTGCTGCTACAGCTGCTGTGGCTGTGATGGACGCCCTGACGCCAGGCACAGGAAGAGTCAAGTCCGCCCAGCTGCCCGTTCATGAGGTGACACAATCGAGGACACGCATGGACACCGTGATTCAGTGCTATGGGAATGACTTTCCACACTAGCCCACTGAAAATGGCAATAACAATATTCATTAACATGACTCAAAGGACCAGAAATCACAGCCTGGAATTCCTTCTGTCTGTGACAACCACTACTGTGACCAGAAAGGTAAAGCTCCTTTACCATCACTGTCTCCCTCTCCTAGGCTGGGATGAGGTGGGAGGGCATGGACACAGATTGCTGAGAAAAGAGACAGCTTTCCCAAATTCAGCCCTGCAGCTGGGCCAGCTGAGGATCCCTCTGGGACACAGAGCCACGGAGCAAAGCAGAGGCCACGCACACAGCCACACACAGGGCACTGCCTGCTCTCCTCACCACAACAACGGTACTGGGCATTAGCAACACCCACTGACACCACCGGGAGGTCCAATTGCTCAGGTCGTCGTGGATCAAGGCCAAACCTGCTGCAGGAGGCATGTTTAACCGAGATATCTGCTGACAACAACAAATGGTGGACCTTCTGATCCAGATGTGCCAGCTGAGGCTCTAAGTACAGCTGGTAACAACTGCCCCTGTGTCATTTCATTGGTGATACAATGATGGGAAATTGCCAAAGAAAAAGCCAGATCATGTGGAATACTATTTGTAAACAGAAAGATGAAGGCAAAAGGGAAAAACTCACCAATCCTATGGCTTATTTTGATCATTCTCTACTCAACATGCTCCCTCTCCACCCCGTGGTTCTACTCTTCTGCTTATTGCAGATGAATGGTTCTTGCAGAGCATGGGAGCTCCAGGAGATGAACAAATCCCAGTCCTTACTGGAGGGATCTGTGTGCCTGACTCCCTGCACTATGTGCAGTTTATTTTAGTAGACATGAACATGATGCCAGGGGTGTGTTTATGAGCATGCAGAGGCATTTCAGAGGAGCAGCACATGATGGGAGCCATCACTTCAGGGTATGTGTGCAGCAGCTGACAGCAGGCACAGTGACAGAACAGAGCCAAGAATGGGCTGTTGGGCTGGAGTCAACAAGTGCAAAGAAATCCCTTTTCCATGCTGCAGCCACTGGGTATGTTTGGTTTACACTCTGGTGAACTTCCGAAAGGGATTTATGGATGTGGCACAGGCCACAACTGCACAACTGGCACAGCACGAAAAGGCCACAATTGTGCACTGAGCTCTGAACCAGTGCTGTTTCAGCCCCAAATGGAAGACCAACCACTTTTGTGAGAAGATATAAAAAAATGACATGCATATAGAGGAGACATCTTCTGCCTCTGTATCCCAACTAAGTATATGTACCAAAGCCAATGTCCAGCTAGGGAGAACAGAATCATCAAGCTTTTAACAGTGGACTTTAAAATACTCTTTACACTTCAGAAGGTACAGAAAATAAAGAAAACTCTGTAAAGAAATGTATTTTCTCTGTTGCCTGCACCCATATTAGTAAAAGGCACATTACATCAGCTTCTTATGTATTTAATGCACTTTATTTTTTTGCCAACAAACCGGATCTAGGTATTTGATATTTTTGTACTGCTGCACATTGGAATATATCTGCAGCCAGAGACATAGTAAATAGTCTAAGAATGATAAAATAAAATTCCTGAAACTACCAGTCTTACTTTTAAATTAATAAAAACTTTCCAGTAGAAATTGAGGATGTTCTTTAGAAATAAATATCTGAGAGTCAAGTGAGACAACTACTCAACCAGAGCAGACTGCACTAGCACGAACTACTGCATGCAGAGTTACACTGGGACTAACAAAGTGTAAAAAAAAAAGAAAGAAGAATTTATTAGGCTGTCCCAAAGCTTTCACTGCCAACCAACATGTTAGGGGGAAACAATCTCAAGCACAGCATCAATTTAAACATTCAGAAGTGCATCACACCAATCTCCTGTCACATAAGTCTTTGCTCACTTCACTCACAAACAAGTGGCAATCAAAGTGACATCAGGAGCCTCAGAACCTCTTTTGCAGAGCCAGACTCAACAGATGTTTTTGTATCTGGATTAAATCACGAGACCCAGGGTAGAACAGAGCTCACTTTCTTTCCAGGCCTGTGCTAGACAGTGCCAGCTGCAGACACGAACAGCATCCCATTGAGGGCTGTTCCAGCAGCACGGAGCCAGCCTGTGCTGAGACAGGAAAGCCTGGCAGGCTGGACACACACCAAGGGCTGACAGGTTGCTGTCACTGGGAACAAGCTGCCAGGCCTTATCTCCACAGGAAAAGCCACAAATGCACGTTTCCCAGTGGTGGTACAAGTTAAACCACTGACAGCCAGCAGGCAGAGGAACAAGAGAAATGGCTCCTGTCTTATCTCGGCCACTGCGAGTTCCTGAATTAGAAACAGAATAAACACAGCACTGTTAAAGAAAGGGAAGGAAAGAAAAATGGGCAATCCTCTAAAGGATTCAGATGGATTTCTGGAGCAGAGGACCAGCTACCATGTAGAGAGGACCAACTTCTACACACTTATCTGGACCTCAGAGGCCTGATGTTCTGCTTTGGACTATTTTGTACCATTGCACTCAGCTGGACTGTTCCTACAGCTGGGATTCAGACGTGCCAGTTGTTTGCCTGATCTGCTGCTTCCTTGCATGCATTCAGGGTAGCCTGAAAGATGCCAGCAAGTGCTCAGCTTCCTGCAGTTCTTCAGCTTCTGCTGACCACAAACCTGCTGGTCCCTGGGTCCCTGCTCAGCACTCACACAAGCTTTTGTGTTTTGCCTTCAAATACAGGCACCTATAGGGAGCTGCAGTGAGGATGGATCCCCTTGTTTCAACCTGAACAGGGAGATTCAGAAAAGCACAGAATAAGGCAAGGCTGCTTCTAATACAGCAACTGCCATTGATGTTGTGAAAGCCTAGGAGGAACTGCATGGGAATCTCATCAGTTGTGATGATAAAAGTGTTGAAGTAGTTTCTTTCCCTGAGGAAGCTCAAAGAGCCAGCAAGGCCAGCCCCTCCAGCAGAAGTGGTTGAAGTTCTACTGATGGCTTAATGGAATAGCTTATGTTCTGTAACATTATCCTTCTGGTTTGCTTGGCTTGTGAAAAATAAGTTTCCTTTTACATACAGGCAGTCTCACACACCTTACTCCTCCTTTTCCCCTCCCTCCTCTCTCCAGCACCATCCCTCTGGTCTTCTGCAGTCAGGAAAGTGATAGAGAGTTTTATTGCAGGTTACAGCAGTGCAGTGCTCTGCAATGGGTTTATTCACCTAAACTGTCACAGTGAATTTTGGACTGCAGGGCAGACTTGCTGGCAGTCTCACTCCAGTCTCCTACTGGCGCTTGCAACACACATGCAGTCAGGATCTGGGAAATACAGCCCCTCTTCTCTCCACCACATCCTGCAGCCTGCCCCAGACAGAGGCCACAGTGGGCCTTTACAAGCATTGCAACCGTAGGAGAGGATAAAGCCATGAAGAGGAAGAAATGTCTGAGGAACAGCTGAATTAGGACATTTTAGTTGGCTTCAAGGCCTTTGATTTGATTAGATTAGCCACACCTTTGCAGGAAAATCAACTGTTAATCATTTACTGCAGCCCAAAGAGGCAACTTCCAGGCTACCTCTACAATTCTCCAGGTACAGCAGGGGGTCCCTCACCATAGGCCAAGATCTCTTGGAGGGGTGAAGAGAAGGAGGAAACACAGAGGAAACACAGAGGAAACACCTACTACAAACTACAACAGCTTCAGGTATTTATAAAATGTTATACAGCTCTTGTATTCTGGGAGGTGAACTGCAGGTAGGAAAAGAGACAGGAACTTCCTGGGGTGTGCAGTCCCATGGGATTTCTTCTTTTGGGTCTGTGGAACTTATATCTAGGCTGCCTTCTTTTTGAAGGCAGAGGAATCCAGAACAGCTTTGATGTCCTGTGTGCTGGTTGGTTAAAGACTGAGCACAGTGATCTGCCATCTACCCAGAAAACAAACCATGAACTGAATAAATCTGGCTGTTGAGAAAGAAACAAAAACTTCAGTGTGAGCTTGTGCTGCGAGTCAAATCCAGCTTGCTGAGGATGAAACACTTTACAGAAGTAATTATTTTTCTTAGAGATTTCAGGATGCATATGTAAGAGGCAGCAGGTCAAGCAAATTTTCAGAAATAACCAATATCTCTTCGTGTATTATATCTGCATAGTCACATTTGTAAGAAAGTGAGAAATATTCCATCCTCTCCCTTGACAAGCAAGGAAGCTTTAGTAAAACCACAAGATGCTCATAAAGAGATGCTGGATGTTCTTTAGAAAGCTGACAGCCAAGTCATTATTCAAAGTATCACTGAAAGAGCAAGTGAGTAGAACCCACTGAGATCACAGTTTAAATTATTACTGGATCTCCCTGTGGGAGGAAAATTTATGCTCCTATTGCAGAGTAACAGAAACCATTACTAAAGCAAACTCCATTAGCAGGACACCCTTTTTAATATAATTGGACTATTCTGAGCCCTATGGAAGAAACAAGTTGTACATGATCTTTGCTTATAATTGGTGGGGTTTTTTGCTTGTCTGTTTTTAAATAAGTGTTCATTTCATCTCCATTGTGTCCTCAGAGTTTAAACCCCCAACTCTCCCTTTTAGAGATCCTTCCAATTGTATCAAGGAATCTTTCCCACTGAATTTATAGGCTGCTCAGCTGAAAAAGAGCTCATATTGAACATGCTGTAGAGGCACTTTATTATTTAAAATATTGATAAGCTATGATTAAAATAAATCTCAACTGCCAAAATGCTGTAGAGAGCAGCTTTTCCTCTTTACATCTCTATAGATCTGATTGTTAAACCAGTCTCAGCTGTATTTCCTCTGGTTTATGCTCCCATTTCTGTGACTCTCCTTTTGGAGGGGATGCCTGCAGGCACAGACACTCTGCACTGGTTTTGGGGCTGTGGCTGAGGGCATGGAGAAAATACAACACCTGACCCTATTGTTGTGTGCCCCCAGCAGGGTGGAAGCCAGCATGTCACTAGAGCAAGAGGCATCCTCAGTTCTTGAAGACCTGAAGACACTGATTGCAACAAGTGACTGGGCTCTTGGAGGGCTGCTGGTGATTGTCATCTTCTGTTTTGTTTTTCTTGTTCTCGTTTTATTTGCTGCTATTTTTGGGTGCTGCACATCTCTAAGGCGCAAACAGGGTAATTTATAGACAGCAAAGTGGGGACACAGAACTTGGTACAACTGAGCAAGAACCAGCCTGGTTCTGATTGTGTTGTTCACAGAGAACTCTCATCTCACTCCCCACGTGGTTATTTCTCTCCATGCAACTCCCCTGCATCAAGAGCCATGTCCCAATGCCAGCAAGTTGTTCTGGCACAGAACAGTTGGCTGTCCACAGCAGACTCAATAGATGAGGCTGTCTGGATTCAAGAACTGCAACATTTGCCAAATACCAAAGTAAACTCTTCTCTGATTTTCATCTTTCAAGCAAAACCACCAACTCGAAGTGGCAAATTGTCAGCCACCACCTAAAGCTGATAAAGATGAGTTCTGCTGCTGCAGCTACGTGGGTTGGGGGTTTTTTCACCTTACAGAAGAGCAAGAGGAAACTCTGGCCACTGAAAGCTTTGTCTGAACCCACTCTCTAAAAGCAGTTTAGACCATTGCTCTCCTGTCATACTCAGGCCTAAATACACTATGCAAAAACTTGCTTGCCAGTACACAGACTGACTTTATTTGCTCTTATTTATAACCTTGCAAGGTCAGAGTTTGAGGTTTGCTTTCATTGTTTGGATAGTGAGTAGAACTGTATTAATTCAATATGTAAAAAACAAATGCAACGTGGCTTTGCTTTCCACAGCACTTGAGTTTCCTGCAGAGTTATGAACAGGGAAGCCAGGCAGGGGTGCTGCAATATGTGACTCTGAGATACACATCCCATGATCTACAGCTGGAAGAATGGATCAAGCTGAGTAAGGGAAGAAAAATTCTGGGAGGGGTGATTTCTAATTAGGTCAGTGATATTCCCTTACTCAGATTATTACTTTGAGGATGGTCAGATACTGGCATAGGTTGCCCAGAGAAGTTATGGATGTCCCCATCCCTTGAAAGGCCAGGTTGGATGGTGCTTGGAGCAACCTGGCCCAGGGGAAAGTGCCCTGCCCATGGCAGGGGGTTGAATTTTGAGTCACCTTTAAGGTGTCTTCCAACACAAACCATTCTATGATTTTACAAAACCCAGCCACAACAGCCATCTGTGAGCTGGGAAAACACCCCAGAGAAGAGCAGAGCTCTTCAGACAAGCAGATCAAATTCTTAGAACAAGAAGCCTCCCAGCAGCTACTTCACAGCATCACCCCGACTTTGGGCAAAGAAGTGCCCCTTCAAGTGCCCCAGGGCTCAGGGCTGTGCCACACTTCAGTATGAGCAAGACTATCCCATACACCCAGGATATGTTTGCCAAACATGCCAAGGAGAGAACGCTGTCACCAAGGCACCAGAAAAGCAGCATGTGTTACATTCATGCTGAAAAAGCTGTCCTAGAGCCACGTGTGAAAAATGAAGAACTTGTAAGCATGACACGCAAAGACCATTTTCAGTTAGTGAACACACACTGCTCTCTTCTTGGCAAAATTATAGCTTTGATGTCTTATCCAGCACAGAACAGCAATTAGTACAATTACAGCATACAAGGCATGAACTAAACCTGAACAAGGCATGTTGTGGTTGCTAGTCTGCATTTAGATTGAGCACATCCATAATTTGAGCCTGTTTCTGAAACATTCTAAGCACCATCAGGTCCTTCTAATGTCAGTGAGAATCACAGATACTTTACATAGCAGAGACACTGAGATTTACAGAAACATTAAATGCTTCCATCCCATGGCTCTGTTTGCCCCCTTAGGAGAGGGGTGATGTACTGAAGGAAGAGAGTCAAAGCAAATGCAACTAAGTCAACCCATCATCAAAGACAGAATATTGTAAAATGCATCACTAGAGATGTTAAACATCTCCTGACTTGGTCAGACTCCAAGACCAACATCTCAGTTAACTCAGAGAGGGGAGTGATGAGAGATTTCTCAGGCACACATACAGGATCTCAGCTGTAACAGTGTCTTGGAAGAACAGGGCATGTTTTCCCCAGCATTAACAGTGATGTTTGAAGGAAATGCACTCACCCCAGCTCCTCGCAGAAGTTCACAATGGCATCAAAAGCTGTCATCACAGCTTTGTCAGACTCTTTTAAGGTGCCTTTTTTTTCCTGAAAGTAGATGGGACAAGGAACTGTAGTCTTCAATTTAAGTAGACACAGATAGAGTAACTCTAGCAATGATCAATCCAACCCTTCTGAGCTACATGGCAAACAGCTACAGACACCTCCCTGTCTCTGCTCCAACTGCTCACCCATTCCTCTCTAATAGAGCTGGCTCTGGCAGCCTTTTCCTTCTGCTGTCCCTTGAAATGGGGCTCCACACAGCTCTAGACTCAGAAAATTTAATTTAATCTTTTCATACTGAGAGGTTACTGCAGGCAAACCAGACCAGAGGCAAGGCAGTGTACCCAGGCAGGTGGGGACTGTTCTGCAGCTCTCACCTGGATGTTAGAGAGCTCCTTCTTGATCAGGAAGCTGACTTGATCCCGGTCATTCCTTGAGTAGTAGAGGCGACAGCAGGATGGTTTTCCATCTCTCCCAGCTCTGCCAGACTCCTGGTAATATCCAGCCATTGACTTGGCAATATTCCAATGGGCAACAAATCTGCATGTGGTAAAACAGGGAACATGAGGCTGCAGGTTTCTCAGAGCACTGCACACACCAGTGTGGTGTCTGTGGACATCAATAATAGCAAAAAACAGGGCAGCAAAACATAAAAAAGGATGGAGCACAGCAAGAGAATTTGCACACTGAAGTTTTAGTCCTCTTAACACACAGACATGGAAAGCAGCAGAGCTGTAAGAAAACAAGTGCACCTGGACAGCACTGGAGCAGGATGCCACTCCAAATGGATGGAACAGAATGAGCACAGGAGTATCCCAAACATGCATACAACTGTGCAGCTATGAAGACTGAGAATAAGGACACTGAGTTAAGGAGTTTGGGAGATTTTACCATAAAATACAGCATTAATAAAAAAGTCATATTTATTTTGTGGGACACAACTGCACCATTACAAAATACGTTTTGTATTTTGTATTTTTAAATACTTCATTTTAAAAAGACACTTAGCAAAAATCTCCATGGGAAATTCCACCTCACTGTGCTTCTCAGATGAAGGCAACCTTCCTAACCAGCAAATATGACTACAGAATCATTAGTAAATTTTATGTAATCTCTGCAGGAAGGTTTTCAACACAGCACTGCAAGACTGCTTTAAACTTGCTTGTACCTGACTATTCAGCAATTCAGCTTTTACCAGTTTAGAGAGGATTTGACAGCACAGTAATGCTGCCAATGTTTTCAAGTCTTCCTCAAAGCCAGCATGACCCAAGGGCAGGTATGATGCATATGGGTGTAGCTAAAGATTAAATGACAAAAGCAAGCAAATATATTTCTTCAAACACAAACAGCCCAAGAACAGGCCAAGCAGGAAGCATCAGAGCCCTGCACATTTAAACCCCATCAGGAAGTTTGCTGAAGAAATTGATAAATAATTTCAAGCAGAACTGAATTAATAGTGAAGAGAGAGAAGCAGATTCTATAGAAAAAAAAAAAAAAAAAGGGACACCACCTCTGTTTTCCCTTCTGTCCAGAAGTCACCTCCAGAAGTTGTCAGACCTGATCTTATTTGATAACATATGCATGAATACTCAGAAATCTGCCAACGCAGAGCAAAGGCTAAGCAGCACTGCCTTGTTAACTAGGCTTGGGTATAATGTTATTTAAGTTATTTTTAAAAAATCCTGTAAAGTGCCATTTTAACTCCATTCCTTGTAAACTGATTTGATTACAAGCATTTTCAGCTGTATCTCACTCTCAGTCAGCCCTATGCATTTCAGTTACTCTGCTTTTTTTAATGACCACTGGATAGGGCAGAATTAATTTCAGCAGGTCATTAATTCAATGAGGAGAATCCTCATTTCTCAGTTTGGAAAGATGCATCAAGGAGTAAAATTGTCACTGCTATAGGATCCTGCTCCCTGGCAGCACAGTGACACAGCAGAGGGATGAAACAGTTGTGAACTGATGGGATTGGCTCAGTGATGGGATCATGCCCTTCTCTCACAGTATTCAGAGCAACTTCTGTATGTGGATTTTAGAGATCAGGTGTGCTGTGTGTGTGTTGGCTGAGCTGCACCTGAATTATCCCTTTAGTAAGTGATCACAATAATAACTCAGCACAGCCATATTGCAGGGCAGGAATTCTAACACAGAGCCCCTATGGGGTCAGCAATGCCAGATAATCAGCAATGGAAACCACATAGCAAAGTTTCTATCCTTGGATCAGAGCTGTATTTTTATATGGTTATTGCCATTTGGGAAGGGCTATTTTTTCCCCATTGCATTGCAAGAGATCTCTAAAAAAAAAAAAGCTCTATTTTAATAGAGGGTGGATGAATTATTTTAGGGGCAGATTTTCTTTCCACTGCTTTTTAACGGCAGCTATTGCACTAAGGGAAGTGAAAGAGACAGCTGTGATTGCACTGAGATGGCTCGTTCTGAAACCCTGGAGGGTGTGGCAGAAAAGCATTCCTCCAATTGTCTTGATTTTGAGGATGGCTGGCAAAGAGGAGCTCTGCTGCCTTGTGTTTAATGTTTTTACAAAGCCCTCCCGAGTTTGGTTTTGCTGCTTCTAAGATAAAAAACTTCCAGCACTGGTTTTGTTGGTTTAAGCAAGTGTTCATCAGGCAGTTGAGTCACGTGTATTAGGTAACAGAGCCTGAGACTTTTCCCTCCCCCTGCTCAGGTTTCAGTCTCTGAGGCGCACAAAACTCAGCCTCACACACCTGACATTTGCTTTGTCTACTCCCATTCCAAAACTGATGGTTGCAACAATGACAGGGATCTTCTCCTCCATCCATTCATTCTGGACAGAAGTCCTGTCAGCTGCCTTCAGCCCTGGGAAGGAAAAGAGAAGAAAGTAAACAACACCACAAAAATAAAAAACAAACAAAAGAAACAAACAAAGCCCACCCTAACAAGGAAAAATAAAAACAAAAAAACCCCCACGAACAAAAAAAACCCAACCAACCAACCAAAACAAAAAAATCAAAAAACCAAAAAAACAACTAATAAAACAAAGAAAAAAATCATCCCAACCCCCTAAAAACCATGAAGAAAACAAAACCCCCCAAAAAAGCGAGGAAAGAAACAAGAGGATTTTCTTTCTCATCCATTCCTCCATTGCAGGCCAACTCCCTCACTAAAACTGACTGATGTACACACTCCTCTCTTCCCAGTGTTGAAACTGGCCTGGGACCAAGCAGAAGTCAGCAGCAGCTGTTTTTATTCCAAATCAAAAAATCCAGCTCCCCACCCGGGATAAAAGCAGTTGTCACTTTCAGGCCATGAAAGACCCAACAAAACCAACAGCTCTGGAGACAAGGGAATGCCATTGTGGTGAAGGGCCTGACTTACCTCACAGACCTGATGTGTGAGCATCACACAGAGTGCAGAGCATGCCTAGAAAGCTCTTTTCTAGGTAGCCCCAACCCAGGTGGCAGAGCTCAGTTCTCCCAGCTAGTAAGAGATGCAGACTCCAGTACCTGCATGGTAGGCTTTGGCTTTCAGGCCTCGGTAGCTCAGCTCAATGGCCAGCTGGTCACACACATCCCTCATCCTGCAGTACACGATGCCACAGCCCGAGTACACCTGGGAGCCAGGAGACAAAGGCCAGGACACTGCCTGAAGTCAAACAACAAAGCTGCAAATACAGCCCCTCATGCTCTCTTGTAGGCACAAGGCAAGAAGCATCTCACAAACACACCCAGGTGCAGAGGTTATAGGTGAGTTGCAGAGAGTTGTTTGGAGAATTAAGTGTTAGAGCAGGAAATTTAACACTTCAAATGCTTCTGCTCACCCTCACCACACTAAAAGAGCAGAACACAAACACATAATAATGGTCAAGGAGGTGTGACAAACCAAGTGGAAATGCTTGTTCCATATTTCTAGTCAATTTTCTTTTAGACTAACCCCCTTCTGAGGACACCTCTGACAGGAACACAACTTTCACATTCTACTTGTTTTAGAGGAACTAAAAAACATATGTGTACACTTTTAGAGGACTTAGAAAATCCACATGAACACTTTCCTTCCTGGGACCTCCTCCTTTCCTGCCACAAACCTGTCAGGGCCCCACCAACCCCTAGAAGTTCAGGGACCATCAAGGTAGATTTTGTCCAGTTTAGTTTTCTTCCCTAAAGGTAAAACCTACCCCAGCGGCGCCCTTCACTTCAAGCGCCTTCAGACAGAAATCCTTCAAGTTGGCGTAGGGATCAGTCAGGAGCTCTTTAAACTGCACATCATAGAACAAGTTCGATCTGAAACAAGGAGTCTTAAAAGTGGCAAGTGGCTGCTTGAGCTTGAGTGCTGCCACCACGTCCTCCTGGACCTGCTTGGTGGCAGTGGCAGTCAGGGCAACGCAGGGGGTGTGGGGGACGCGGGCACGCAGGGAGCCCAGGCGCAGGTAGTCGGGGCGGAAGTCGTGTCCCCACTGCGACACACAGTGAGCTTCATCAATGACCAGGTAGGACAGCAGGTTTCTGGACACCAGGGAGTTCAGTGTTGGCTGGAAGGAAGAGGCAGCTGCCATCTCTGGAGTGATGTACAGGAGCTTTACTTGAGGCTTCTCACTTGCCAAGTCAGCCAGGATGGTTTTCTTCTCCTGGGCAGACAGTTTGGAGTTGAGAGAGCAGGCTTTGATCTTCAGAGCCAGCAGGTGATCCACTTGATCCTAGAGTGAATACAAAATAGAAATGAAAATCAAATGGGAATAAAGAAAGTCACCAGCATCAAGAAAGATTAGTAGGGAGACTCAGGTGAGGCCCCAGCTTCCACCTCCAGGATCAAATCCCAGGACAACACACACCTACAGTCCTGCTATTTACAACTTCAAATCCAGATGCCTTTTTCTTCATCTGTGACTCCATCCAGCTCTGACATTCAACTGCATTTTTGTGCACCCATTCACTTTAAGGCAGACTAACACTTTAAGGTGTTCCTTTTTTGCTGCTGGGGAACACCAGCAGAGATCTCAAAACAATTCATCACAAGTACTGTGACCTGAATACATCTCAGTATTTACAAACCAGAGTTGTCACAGATGGAAAATGCAAGAACAGCGAGCAGTTCACTCCAAAATAACTGTAGGATGTCTTAAAACAATGAGACAGGACAAAGTACAAGGATCAGGCAAATCACCACTGCAGCAGAACCAGAAGCATGGATGAGAATCATGTCATGAAAACCAAGAAGAAAACGTGGCATCACATCCAGATGAACACTGGCCATATAAATTCACTTCCCTGTCCCCTGCTCACTTGCACTTGACTAGCACCTGACATTTCAGGATATGAAGAGTCCTGAAATGTTTTTTTTACTCAATATCTGGTTGCAGTCATTGATTTAATGTCTGTTTCTGTTTTCTGTTCACAGTCACCCCTCAGACTTCCCTATAATGAACTGCACAGGCTGAACTCTTGAAGTTTGGCTACACTGAAGTACATCACTGATCATTTCAGGTACAGCAGCCCCTTCACAAGGCTTGATGAGAAGACTTTAGGGGTTTACTGCAGCTCTTTCCCCTAAGACTCATCAAGCCCATCTCAACCTATTTGTAACTCTCTTAACAATGGTATATCTTAATCTCCATTTCACTAATATTGGCCATGCTGGTGTTTATTCAGTGGTCTTCACACTTAGAACAAATTCATTCTTTATAGTATCTTTCTGGGAAGTATCACCAAGTTTGCTATTGTCCAGTGAGACTATAAAAGAGTTAAAATAATTCCACAAATAACAAATCCCATACCAGAAGCCTGCAGCACCAGATGTCACACAGTGCTAATGGTCTGCACAAGTCTAAGCAATGCTACACCTCCTCTTACAGGGATTTGTTTCTCCCAACGGGTGATGAAACAGTAGAAAAGGCAAAACAGAGGAAAAAAAGTCTCATAGATAAAAGTGCTCATGGAGCAGCTCTGCTAAACCAGCTTCTCCCCATCACAGATTGACTACAATGAAAAGATATTTTTATGCAGAATGAATTGTGCCTTCAAAGGCAACTTCATCACTACTGGAGTTATTACTTTATAGGTGAAGTGGCAGGGTTTTTCCTGGGGAAAGATCCATCTTTTGGTGCATTCGAGTTACTCTGCTTTGCTGCTTATGTCTGGAGAAAATAAAAGCCACCAGATTATTATTAAAGGCAAAACCATCCTTTTAGAGAAATACAAAGTATCACACCAGAGATACTCTGCTCCTCACCTATCCCAGGGTAAGGAAAGCACACTGAGACATCAAGAGAATCCAGAGGCAGATCAGCAGCAGAGACTCATGAGCAGAAAGACAAGAGGGCAGCTGCTGTGTCTCTGGAGTCTCCTGACCCTTTCCCTGACTGCTATTCCCCAGCTAACAGGAGACAGTTACCTGAATCAGTGCAATCAGAGGTGAAATGACAATGGTGATGCCCACTGCCAGAACTGCAGGAAGCTGGTAGCACAAGGATTTCCCTGCCCCTGTGGGCATGCACACAAAGACATCCTTCTCTCCTGCAAAAACAACAGAAGAAAGCTCAAGGCCTCTGAGTGGTGTTGAGTTCCTGGGGCTCAGGCTGGAGGGGTGGGCAGAAACAGCACATGTGTGCATGTACCAGGTGGCATAGCAACAAAACACTTCAGTTTAGGTTCTAAAAGCACAGCAATACTTTGCATGCCAGCAGTGGTTTCCCTCAAAGAACCTCAGATTGCTTTGTAAACATTTAGAGACAGCTGTACAAAAGTACCAGAAGATACACAGAAACCAAGATAAAGATAAGTGAAGTTATTCATGCTGAATCTCCTCCAGAAAAGCTGCTTTTGCTAATTTTACAGACCTCCACTTACCACATTACCAGCCCCATGACAGAACTTCACCACATCCTCTTAAAGCTTATCCCAGAAAGGCCTCTCACATGAAAAAGGAGTTGGAAATCTCAACCACAGTGATAATATCCTGCAGTGAGTGACTGTTCCTGCACTAACCAGGATCCAAATCAAGCCAGAAAGGTGCCAGTGACACCAGAGACATCTTGTATGCAGAATCCCACTTCTGACAGGTCTATTGTCAACAGTGAGTGGTGATAGATGGAAACTGGACTGGGCACTGTTCTGATTCACACTGAGAGAGGTGCTGGGGGAGCTGGCAGCTTGTTTGTGTGAGCTGCCTGTCCACCTCCAGCTGGCTGTTAGGGGGTGTGTCAACATCAGCACGAAAATGTTTCTGATAATGGCCCCATGATTCTGAGGAGCTCAGCTATGCCAAGAAATCAAGTTCTCTGCTGGTATGGTCTTTAACACAAGGACAGTTTTACTCTGAAAACGTCTGAATGTTAACAGGTTTGATGTCATCTGATCACAATCACACTGGCAGGTGTGAGGAGACAAAACTAGAAAAGACACCAACAGTGCTGCACTTTCCCATTTCCATGGCTGATGCAATGGCAGCGTCACAAAAACAAATGAAAGGAAAAGATGCAGAGCTCGTGTGCAGCACGTGCTCCTGGGCCACCAAAACCATCTCAGAGCAGAGGAGGGTGTGGAGAGCTGGGCGCTCCTGCTTAGTCCAGGTGAGGTCTGCTCACATCAGGCACAACAGCAACTCCTGCAGTGTCACCCCACACGGAGATGGACACCCAGCCGTGTTCCAAACATCTCCCATTCCAAGCCTCACCTCTCACCACAGCCATGGTCGCACTTTCCTGCAGGGAAGTCTTGAAGGACTCGAACCCGAAGACCTTCTGCAGTGTTTTCCGGACCCTGCCCTCCAGGCCCGGGGGAGCCTTCCCGCTCATCCTAAGGATGCTGCGAACGGTGACAGGAACCTGAGCTAGAAACGGACGCTGCCACCCTCCTCTGCCCCAACCCCAACCCCCTCCCACCTGAACCACCTCCCCCAGGGCTTCCCTGCCACACTCCCCCTTTTTTCTCTCGGGGATGCTTATCCAGACCCCCTCACTGGAGAGGGCCACCATGTGTTTACTCTGGGCCAGCCCCCTTCTAACGGGACACAGCAGAGGGGGCTCATGGCGGGGGGGCCTCAGTGCCCACCCAACCCGCCCGCACCCGACAAGGAGGTGGTGTGGGGGCAGGCGGCTCCTTCTCACCGACCCCCCATCCTCCCCAGTGTCCTTGCACACCCCATGTCCCCTGTCCCGGCCCCCACCCTCCGCGCTCGCTCCACACCCGGCAAGTGCTGTCGCGGCGCCACAAAATGACGTCAAAACCTTCAATTAAAGGGCCAGCCCGCGCACTTTTCATCCCCTCTCCTTCCCCGAGACGCTCCGCTCTGGCTCGCTGAGGGTTTTCCCCTCCGGCTCTGAGCTCCCTGCGCAGTTTCTCCTCTGGCTGTGAGGCCGGGACTGCCCCGCTGCGCCGCGAGCCCGCTGAGGGCGGAAGAAGGGCAGCGTTGCCATGGTGACAGCGCCGTGTGCGTCATCCCCGCGCGCCGGAAGTGCACCGCGGCGGGGCGGAAGATGGCGGCCGCGAAGCGCAGCGTTCTCTCCTCGCTGGCGGTTTACGCCGAGGACTCGGACCCAGAGTCGGACAGCGAGGCCGGCACGGCGGGGAGCGATGGGGGAGCACCCACGGGTGAGGGCGGGCAGGGAGCTGGGACAGGAGGCGGGCTGGGCCGCCAGAGTTTCCCCGTGCGGCCCGCGCCGGCCTGGCGCTCTCCTCTATGTGAAGGGAAGGCCCCGCACGCAGCCACTTCCCCTTCTCTCACAGTTTTCCTTTTCTCTTCCTCCTTAGGAGAGAAAGGAGGCTTGGTCTCAGTTGGGTATGGAGAAGATGACTTTACCCGCCTGGATGGGGACGAGGAAGGGTACGAAGAGGAGGACGATGAGAACAGCAGGCAGTCAGTAAGTACCTCCCTGCTCCAGGAGCTTGTCTTGACCCCTTACACAGGTTTTAAAGGCTTTTCTCTTTCAAATAAAAGCCCCGAATAGTGACCTGTGATGGAACCTGGACTATCTGATTCCTGGTGTGGGTTTCAGCACTTTCCATTTACTCCTTTCACTTTTGTTTTCATGTAGAAAGCATTTGCCCTGAAACCCATCAGCAGCTTGGTACAGCTCGTGTTGCTCGTTACTGTGTTGGTGTCGTTGAACTCTTTTATGGGAAAAAGGCTATTACAGCCACTCCAAATAAAAGCTATTTTTAAACATAGTTGACATATAAGAACCTTGTGAGAGGACTACACTGTCAGCTGGTAGATTAAAAAGAATAAACTTCTATACTGTCTTAAATTATTCTTTTGTGTGTAGCTCAGTCCACTGTCTGCATCAGGTCACCGTGATGTAACAGTGTCCTGTCTACACGTGGGTGGCTTTTGTCTGTCACAGGTGCATGGCACGTGTCTGATATCACCTGAATTCTGAGATAATGACAGTGTGTGGGGACAGGACATGGAGCTCACAGTCTGGGAATGCAGCTGCATGACACTGAAGGATGTGTAGTTCTGCCCTGGGTCTGGGGGAGTGAAACAATAAGTTTGAAGGGGAAAAGGGAAAGTTCTCATCTCTTCTTTATTGTCACCCTTTTTCTTACCACTGTGTTATCTTCTCCCTTTTCCAGTTCTTTCTTTTACCACATAGCCACAACCCCAGGGCTACTCCTCTAACTCTTCCTCACTGAAATCTGCTTTGTGTGTGTTAGATCAGTCTCTTAGCAGACACTATTTTCTGCCATCTGTCTGCCCAAGTAGCAGCCAAGACATTCCTCAGTCTCTTGTTCCTGCTTTAAGTTCTGTTGCCCCTGGTGTCTCCCTTAGCAAAGCAGTAAAGTTTTTCTACTGCTTCAGTGATTCTTCTTTCTATATCCAGCACTTCTAGACTGTTTCAGTGAGGTCTCTCTAGTTCAAAGGAAGCCCTGTGTGTGATCCAGGGGCTTGCCAAGGTCAGCTGTGTTTAGTTAGTATTGTAAAGGGGTTGTAAATGCAGTGGTTTTATTGCATACACAGCTTTTGGGGCAGGTTGCAGCTGTTCAGGAAATGAGTGGCCATCAGTGTCACTCTGGTGCCAGCCAGTGCATCTTGCATAGGTCTGTGGTTACAGTGCAGGTTGTACAAGTTACTCTCCTTTTTTTTTTTTTTCCCATTAAACATTCTCTGAGCAGACTTGAGAACTTCCTTGGCCTTGCTTTTGCTGGTAGCTCCTGGGGGTTACGAGTTGTTTTTAGAAAGCAGGATGAGGTGGACTCAGGTTGTCCTGTGCTTTGCTCGTACAACTCAGTGGGTGTTTTAACTACTTTAACAGTGACTGAAAAGCCTCTCTTTTTATTCAGAGCCATTTCTCAGTAATGCTGCTTTGTTTGTTAATGTTGTTACTGCTTGCTAAGTTAGAAGTTTATGAGAGCTGTTTCAGTTACTGTCTGCAACATTGACAATTCAACCCGTTATTGCTTTGATGAAAATCACTTTTATCTATATAATAGAGACTGTAGAGGGGAGAGCAATTTCATTTGTGGTAAACACCAAGTTAGTTGGTTCTTTTCTAGTTACAAACTCACTGTATGAAACCTTTGGCAGTCTGGACTGAATTATTGCCATATGTGCATCTTTCAGAAAGGGAAAGTGGAGAGTAGCTGAAGTGAAGGAGTTGTGTCTCACATCTGTAACAGAGGCATCTTAATTCAGTCATTAAAACTTCCTGATGTTACTGTGTGCTCAGTCTCTAGCTTGTCTTGTCAGAACTGGCTCGTGTGTCAATACTTCCAGGTGGGCAATTCCTTGTAAACTCTTCCTTTCAGTTGCACGTCTCTTTCACTTTTTCTTTTGTTTCCCTTTTTGAAGCTGAAACACCAAGTTCTTGTTTTGGGGCCAACATTGAAATTTGTGGGAAACTTTGGAAGAAAAACCATTTTGCTGAGTTATGTGAGCATGAAAAACACTTTCTGCTCCTCAGATTTGTTTTGAACCCAGAGGATGTGCTTATGTCTAGAAGCAGGGGTACCTGGAGGATGCCCAGTGAGGGGACAGCAGCAGGTTTACTGCCACTGGGGACCAAACTGGAGCTTCCTGCACGCCTGGTGTGCATTTTCACACATTGTTGTAGTCAGTATTTTAAGTTTTCACAGGGCAGAAGTTCCCCCAGTTCTTTGGTTTATTTCTGGTTCATAAAATAAATCTTTTAAAAATGGAGATTGTTACCTGAAATTTGTCAGTGTTCCCTTCTGTGGAGGTTCACAGCATCTGCAAGCAAGGCACAAGAGCTCTGCAGCAGCAAGGAGGTTGTGTCTGCTGGATCCCTGGAACTTGGTGCTAGGCCAGACCCTCTCCAAGCCTGCATGTTTGGTTTGGTGGCAGGCCAGCTGTGTGTCCTGTGTGTGTTGCTGATGCTTGGGACTATCACAGGTCTTGCAAATGCTGCTTTTTCTGTGGGTACTGCTGAACAGAGGCTCTTCAATCACCACCTGCCAACTGGATGGGACAGAATTATCAAAGGACAAATGCTTTTTCCCCCAGTTCTGCTGCTTCTTGTTGTCTAATTCTGAGCGTTCCAGAACTGCATGAGTTTTGTAGGGACAACTGCTACTGAGTGATGCTTTTGCCTACAAAAACCCCCAAAACCAAACAAACACTTCCTCCCCTGACTGTAGGACTTATTTGCTGGTTATGAGTGGGTGGGGCAATACTACCCTCCATGGAAAGGGTCTTGGCTGCTGCTGGGCTGCTGAATGCCCTTTGCTGTAAGTTCAGTTACTTGCCAGGTCTGCTCTTTAAGCTTAATCCTGTAAATTCTTGTCTTGTAGGAAGATGACGATTCAGAGACTGAAAAACCTGAGGCTGGTGACCTAAAGGTATTTGAAAGTGTGGTCTGGTGGTGGTGGGGAAGCTCAGTACAAGAGGAGTAAGTCTTAACAGCATGGCTTGGTGTTCATTTGTGATCTGTAGTTAGTTCCACACCTTTTGTAGTTTTAACCTGTGTTTCTGACTTTACTTCTGGCTTCTGCCAAAGGCATTTAACAGATCACAGGCTCTGAGTCACAATGAAGGTCAGCCTTCATGAATTTGGTCATGTTGTGCATTAGATCTGAAGTTTGCTGACAGCATCTCACCTGTTTTGCAGTGATGTGGGAGGTGCAACATCCATACAGAATTCTGTATGACCAGTGTTAGTTGGAATAATTTCTTCATTTAGAACAAGTTAATAAATGATCCTGTGCTCTTAGAGCCCTGGAAGGTGTCAAAATCAATTCAGTTCTCTCCAGCTCTGTCCTTCTGAATGAGGCAGTTTTGTAAAGGTCATAGATAAATTTAAAAAATTGAAATAAGATCCCCAGATAATAGCTATTATCATAAATAATTGAAATCATCTTTGTCTTGGGATTTCACCCTGTTTCTGCTGAACAGCAGGTGTTTAACAGCACACAGGACATGGATCAGGCTCAAAGCTGGAGGACAGAAGACCAAATCCATTTGAAACCATAGACAACTGTGTTTAAATTTTTTATGTCAGTTCAGTAGAAGCAGCCCTGTTCATCAGAGATGCTGAGTGATGAACAATTGCAAGGGCATTTATTTTATCCAGCAGCTTCTTCAAGGATGCAGACAGTCCCTAAACTGCTGCAAAAACCAAAGGACTGTGCTGCAAATCAAAATTCTGTAGAGAATTTGATTTACCACAGGGCTTTGATAGGTTAGGATGAAGGCAAATGGATGTGTTTAGCTATTCTATTTGAATTAATTTCATAGCAGCACCTTCTTCCAGGTCCCACAATATTCTTACGGATTTACAGTGAGACACAGCTGGAAATCTTGGCAGCTGCACTGCAGCTGGTAAAGTCTCAGTGTGTGGAATGGCTCCCAGGCAATTGCAAATGGAATATATTGTCTCCTTTCCTTGTTGCAAGAAAGATTTTTTTTTTTTTTTTTTTGAAAGAAAGGAAAAGGGAATCTTTCACTTTAATCCTTTTTCTACTTCTACATTTTTGCCGTGGTAAACATGCTAGCAATATGTTTCTGTAAAAACTGCTGGATTCAAATGTGTACTGTGAAATAAAAACAAGGGATTTCCTTCGAAGATAAATTTGGTGTAAATCAAGCTTTTGAAGTTGTGTAGTAGGGTCCTGTTGCAAGTGTGTGCATTTCTGTCTTCTCTGAAAAGGCTGTAGGACTTGAGGGCAGTGGAGAATAGGTCTGGCAGAGAGAAAGAACAGAATGAGACTGTGGTTGCTCTTATCTGAGTAGTCATACATGACAGAAATTCACCCCTGAATTGTGTGGTTGCTGCTTTAATATCCCACTGACATTTCATGTTGGCTTGTTTAAAAAGCTTCTTGATTTCAGTGAGTTTGGTGTGCTGCTGTCCAGGTGCATTTTGTGCTTCTGAAGAAAAGCCACACGTGGCCACAGAGCAGCATTTCAGCTTCAGTGAGGAAGCAAAGAAATAACGAAAGTATTAAAAATAAAAAGCATTTTGTATCTTTGTAGACTGTGCAGTATTAACTCTGCAAGAACTGAAAACGTGAATTAAAGGAAAGAAATAAAACAAAGGTAAAATGTAATTCCTGACATCCCCGTGTGGCATGAAAAGTGAGGATTTGAGAAGAGTTAGGAGGGAGGCAAAGCTGAACTGAGTCTGAAACTCAGAAGTTTCAAACTTCCATGTCATCCTTAATAGATGTCTTCAAACACAAGTGAAAAAGGGAATTGTCTCCTGTGGCCTTTAGGGTTTTCTGAGTGTGAGGTCCCAGCTGCAGAGCCAGCTGGCACTGGGCAGGGTGGGGCTGTGGAGCAGCCCAGTGCCCTGCTGGGGTGTGGCTGTGGGGACACGGTGCAGCTGCACCAGCCACGCTGTTAAGAAATTCACTTGGGATGGGAAGAGCTGGAACATCCCTGTGGAAGTATTTGTACTTGGAGCAGCTGCAAATGTTTCCTATCCCCTTTTTCCACCAAGTGGCAGTGTTCACCATCCTCACTGCTCGTAGCTGGCAATGTCTGTGACAGCTAACAAGTGTTGTAGTTACTGTAAACCCAAAGTGCAGCAAAAAGGGACGCCCTTGATTATAACTTGCTAACACTTTTGGGTAACTTAATTTTGTTTTGAACCTGCAGAGTGCTGTAGTTGTGCCTTCACAGTTTCATGGAGGCATCAGAGACCTGGAAATGTGTTTAAAGAGATTCCCCATGCTCTTTATATATGGCCAGGGCTTTTCCAAGGTCTGAATCTGACCATGAGCAGAAAGTAAATAATTTAAAAAGCATGAATGAATTTTAAAAAATGCAGTTCATCAGTTAATTATAGTCATTTCAAGCCCTGAAGATTTTTTTTCCTGGTGTTTTGCCTGTGTCCCTACTGTGAATGAACTATCTAGAGTTTATACCTTGAATAATGGAGCCAGGTTGTGTGGAGCAGTTCCCTTGTTGCTGGTGCATCCTGTGATTTGGCACTTGGGTAGTGCCAGACACAAAACCTCCAGAAGGGTCAGTTGTGGATGGAGTCAGAGGAGACAAGTGGGGAATGGTGTAAAAATTCTTTGGTAAAGTGATGATAGGGAGAGTGGAATTTGGATCCTGCCTCAAATAGCCCCACTGGGAAGATATTTATTTTGTATTTGTCTCAGATTCTTCTCTTGATCTCAGAGAATCTGCCCCTCCTTGTTTTTGATGAAGGGAAACTCTGGCTGTTCAGCCCTAGTTCCTCACTGGAGGGGAAGCCAATACAAGATGCTGGTTGGGACTGCAGCTTTCCTCTGGGTTATTTTTTTTGCCAAGGAGCAAGTCACAATAAGCTTTCCAAGTTCTAACATTGTGATGTCAAACTGCTGTTTTCTCTCTGCTCTTGGCGAGATAGAGAAGTTTTTATACACCTGTTTGGAGGAAAAAGTGTGCCAGGAGGAGGAGAATATTTAAGCCTCATCAGTCACCTGGCAGCATTCTTCCAGAGCAGACTTCTGGCCCATGGAATTCATGTTACTGAGCATCTGTGAGTTATTCAAAAACACACCGTGCTTGCAGCAAAAAGCAGAATCCTTTTCTTTAAGCAGCAGATTCAGATATTCAGGTGTGTTCAGTGGCATCCTGTAACTGCATTTTGAAGTGCTTCAGGCACTCGTGGGCAACTGGAGATTCAAATCTGGGTAGAATTAACTGCTCTTCCAGAAATCAAATCTGGATGGATGTGCTCAGGCTCTGGGACAGGGCAGGTTAGTGAACCACAATCACTTTTACCTGAGCAGTCAGCAATTGTAAACAAGCATCTTCCTTAAAAGCACTTTAGAAACAAAACCTTCTGTTTTGAAGGAAAAATAAATAGGCAACAAAAATCTGTTGTTTAACAGCGATGTTAAAATCGTGAAATCCACAGCCTGGATGAGTTCTTTGTGCCTTTTGCTCAGCTGCTGGAGCCCTGGGCACAAACTGAAGGAGGTTTGGGGTTGGGTGTGAAATGTGGTGTTGTGCTGGTTTGGAAGGACAGGGTTAAATGGCTGCAGGGGGTGCAGGTCGCTGGGGCTCTGGTTACAGCCTTGGTGTAGTAACAAGATACAAGCTTTCAGAGCTCACTAAATGCACCAGCCCTGCTGGAAAATGAAAAATGAACCTTAAAATTTTGACCTTGTACTCCAAGCCTCTCCTGAGCAGTTCTGTGCTTCATACTGGAGGGTTAGATGAATAAAAGGTTGCAAGTGTTGATCAAGGACAGAGCCCAGCCCTGCAGCTTGGCTCCTGGAGCGTTCCCAGAGGGAAATCATTAACTCTTGAGCCTTGATTGTTGTATCGGGACCAGCCAGTGCAGGAAAGCTAAGAAATTTGCCACTCCCTTGGCAGGTGAATGCCTGACACATGGTGGAAGTTTTTAAGAGCAGGTGGCTACTTTGATGTTTTTCTTTCCTTTTGGTTTTGTTTTAAAGGGTCCCCTCTGGGTCCTGGAGGTGTTGTATGGAGAGGCAGCCAAACTGGGATCTAGCAGAAGGCTGTCAGATTTTGAGAGGAATACTGTACCTCTAAGCATGTCTGAGTACCTCCTCTTAATAATCATCAGCTCTTTATTATGTTTAGCTTTTATTGATCCAGCATACCTGTAAAGTAATTCTACTGTTATGATGTGTAGGTGTGTACTAATACTTAGAGGCTTTTGACTGCAGTGGGTTTTTTTATCTTGCCTACCCATTAACCTGTTTGTTTAACTACCAAAATTATCTTGATTTAAAGTAAAAGTGGTAAGTGCTGAGAACCAATAAATGGGTGTGTGTGCAATTATGTAATCCCTGAAATTAACTCTTACTTGGATAAGGCATATTAATTTTTTCTGAATTCTCCATACATTCATCAAGCCAGGTTCTCAAAAAATGCTTGAACCTGCTCATTAACTTTCATCTCAGGTGTAATTATTTTGCTCCAAAGAAGGGGAAAAGTATGTTTGGGAAAAGTTTTATCCTTAATGTGGCCTTGCATTATGCATGGCTGTGAGCATTCCTGCAGAAACAATTTCAAAGCATGAACTGTGCAGTTCCCAGGGCCGGGGTCAAGGTTGGAACTCCAGTGGTTTGTTTCCTCACTCATTCCTTTGCCTGGAAGCACACCCTGAAGGTGCCACTGATAAGCACTCAGATTCTTTTTCTGTGTTTTAGCTTCCTTTTAACATATTTGTGTGAAATGCTGTCAGTGCTTCCAACTCCGTGTGGTTTTCCCTTGTTTCGGGTTTGACAGATGCTTTTTCAGAGCTCTGTGGAGAGAACTGGAGAGTTCTGCAGAGTTTAGAGGGGAGTAGAGGTAACTCAGCTGTTCTCTGCAGTGCTACAGTCAGTGCCCAGACATGAAACCAGCAGATACCTGGTTCCCATTTTATCTGGGTGAA